GTTCTATTTTGAAACTTAAATGCTTTAGCGGCTACCTTTTGTGTAGTTTGTAATATTTGCCTTTATTTATCTGAAACTGAAGCCTCATTTTAAGTACATCTGCCCTGTTGAACTTATTATGGGAAATAAATATTTAAATCAAAACAAGCTGCTGATTATTTCACATTTTACTTGTGAGCAACGGCACATTTAAATCTTACAAATATAGTTATTTGGCTTATATCATGATATATATATCGTTATCGCCTGAAATGAAAAAAACATATCGTGATATGAAAAAATCTCATATCGCCCAGCTCTACTTGCTTAAACTATAAAAGGAATGAGTGATTGGGCTGTACCAAGTAGTGGAGGGAAGGGGGGCAGTGTGGGCAGTTGGATCATTCCCACCAGCTTCCCTCCCAGCACGGAGCAGATGAAGAGGATGATGATGCCGAACAGGTTCCCTCCAGGTAAACACTCTTTTCCCGTGATGGCCCAGACGACTCCGAACAGCAGAGCAAACAAACAGACTGCGAGCAGATGTGACATCCCATTAAGATTCAGTGTGACAGGACACATTTACACAGTGCTGCTGGTCAGGTAGAGTATTTAATGAAGACACATAGTTGAGGATGTTACCTTATACAAACACACAGGCATCATGAGTGTTCGTTACCTTTGGTGATGAGCAGGTTGATGATTCCCCGAGGTCGAGGACATCTGTCGTTCAGACTGATACAGGATGCGCAGCAGGAAGAGTCAGATGATGGCGTCTTCATCTGTTCATTAGATGTTTTTCAGTTTCTGATATTCATCATTCATTTGGTCACAGCAACAGATTTCTGCAGACACCAGTAGTTTGCATAGAAGACGCCAGCTTGTCTGAACTATTGCCAAATGTAGAACATTTGTCTTTCAAGAAAAACGTTTTCATTTTTGCTGCAACCTACAACTTGCAACTTATTTCACCTAGAGACAGCTAACAACCACTGACCAGCTGTTCGGGAAATATACATTTTTTCATTTCCATTTTTATACCGGCCTTTCTCTCGGTCAGCGCTGTGACCTACTGAGTCTTCAGCAATAAGTTAAACAGTGTCTGCCAGCAAACTCCAGCAACCAGATGGTGAATTTTCATTTTTCCCTAGCAACGGACTGTTTCTAGGACATCGCCAACCAGTCTCTACACTTGTGTCACTGAGCACTTACAGGACACAACGCCTAAACCACAAACTTTATTATCATTAAT